ATCAATACATTTAAATACATTGTTTATTTATATTATTAATAATAATGCATAAATGTAGAAATGCATTTAAAAGGTTGGTTCACAGTGGGGGGAACCTGAGCGAGCTGGGAATCAGCTGTCCCAGGCTCGTGCTGGGTCCCTCCTGCTGCGCTTTAGCCTTTTAAATGTATTGAGAGCTGATAGACCCTTAATACATTTGAAAGGCAGAGCTGCAGTGGCGATAGCTCCCGGGCCAGGAGCTAACCCCACTGTGGCTCCCTTGCTTATCGACTAATTGACTATTTGATTAGTTGATTAAACTAAATTTAGCATCCCTACATAGCAGCCCAGAAGCAGCAAGAAGGAAACTGAAAATAAGCTAGCTACCATAGCAGGGAACCAATTGCACTCATTGGACAGAGAAGGGCCTAATCCACTTGATTTGTACACCTGGATAGCCAGCAGCAGTGCCTGAGCTAGAGAAGGGGAGGAAGGCCAATTGGCTAGGAGTCTGAAAGGTAGCAACAACAGTCAGACACAAGCTCAGGAAAGCCTGTAAATAACAAGAACCATCCACACATATGTTCTGAGCCTGGAAAAACACATTTTCAGGTAGAAGAGAGTCAAGTCCGGCATCAGGACATGAAGCCACTTCCTATCTTCAACTTGCAGAACATAAAAGAACTCCGTAGTGAAAAATCACAGCTCACCAAAAGTCCTCCCCAAGGTATTCAATCTGAATTAACTGTTGCCAACTACCTGCTATCAGAGGGCTCCAGGCAAGGAGAAGAGGAGCCATATATCCACCATCTTGGTAATCCATCCACACATCAACAGCCAATGTGGAATCATCAAGGACGGGGAGGGCCAGCCTGAATGAAGAAGAATGAAAGAAAGGAGCCCCAAGACTACACAACACAGAAGAGCGAACAGCTTTAGTGTTCCCGACTCATACAAATCATACTCATACAAGTTTCATACAAATCATTCAGTAGCTAATGCTTTTTTAAGCCTCAGCTCCTTAAGACATATGACTACCTGAGAATCTTAGCTTTTATTTGTTTTTTATTATTATTTTTATATGAGTTATAAGCACAGTTGGCTGCAGAGAAAAGCCTGAAAATAGAAACTGAGTGTTCACTCAAGGCTCAGAAACCCGCCAGCACATAAAAATAATCTGCAATCTATTGTTTTTAATATATGTCATGATTTTAAGGGACAAGATGCTGTGGTAATACCTTTTTTGGACCAACCTGTGTTAGTGAAAAAGGAAAGATTTCAAGGTAAAGAGAGTTATTCATCTGGTCTGGGAAAGCTATTCAGTGTGTCATAACTAAGTGCAAGGTAGAACAGTTTTCTAGCATTGATAGTTAACACATATTCTAAGACCCCATTCAAAGTGAAGTGTCACTCTGAGAACCTTTCCCAACCTGAAGAAGAGCTCTGTGTAGTTAGAAATCTTGTCTCTCTCACCAACAGAATTTGGTTTAATAAAAGACATTACCTCACCCACCTTGTATCTCTAAGGGTGCATCTACACTGAGGGCTTAACTTGAAATAAGCAACTCAAATTGAACTACGTCCATTGCGTATCTTATTTCAAAATAGCTTGTTTACAATTAGGGAGCATATACACAGCATTTATTTCGAAATAGAGCACTCTTCCTCCGACTTCCCTTATTCCTCATACAGTGAGGGTTACAGGAGTCCGAGTAAGAAGTCCTCCAGCTTGACAGTGTTTTGACACTATTTCTAAATAACTGACTGCTGTGTAGATGCAGACTAAGTTATTTTGGAATAGCGTTAGTTATATCAAAATAATGTTGCAGTGTAGATGTGCCCTAATATACCAGGATAATACAGCTACAACATCACCACAAACTTGATTTTTAAGAATCTCATCAATTATTGGGTCCTGACTGATAATTTTTTAACACTTTGGGTAGACAGTACTATGGCTACATTCACTTTCTAGGCTCAATTACACCCAAAGCTGCAAGAGAGCTTAAGCCGCACGAAGATCTTCATTGATCAGAAGAGGGAGATAACCCCACAACGGTAACCAATATTACGCTGTACTTTGGTGAGACAGGAAAAGAGGGTGAAAAGAGATCTGGTCTAAGAGACTTAATTAAACTGTATGTATAGGCAGGTAAAAGCTCCATTGTAATCAAGGTTGAATGTTACCTTCACCATGCTAACTCAGGCCAATCCATAATCAATAATCAATCCATTAGTTTCATTAGAAAAGATCAAAAATAAAGAACATATGTAATTTACAGGTAGGCTTTTTGGTTGAACATGTTTTCATTCTATATTCTGAGTACAGTAATTCCTCATTTAACACATGCCCACATAACACGTTTTCACGATAGCATGATTTTTTTTTAGGTTTTTTGAATTATACAACTGTTCCCGGAATAACATGGTTTTCCCAGCTGGCCCATTGCTGGCTGCTGCATGGGGCTTCCCCCGCCTCCCTTCAAAGCAGCAGAGGGTTTGCCGCTCGCCGTGCCATTCCCTAGTGACCCCCCTTCGCCAGACACAGTGCTGGTCCTGGCAGATCTGTCACGGGCATACTCCCAACCCAATCCCCCTCCCCGCTCCTCCCCTTCCTTTCCCCAGAGCCAAACACCTCCCCTCCCTGCTGTAACCCATTCTCCTTTCTCCCCCAACCTTATGTGCCGGTCCCAACAGACACCACTGCTTGAAACACAACGCCAACCTTTTCCATCATTTTCAATAGGAAAATTGACCCCGCATAACATGTTTTCACTTAACACGATCATTTTCTGAAACATATCTATAGTGTTTAATGAGGAATTACTGTATTAAAACTACCATAGATCACCGTCTTCACCTTATCCCATCAGTCAGAGTTAGAGGCTCTTTTTCCTCATTTCCAAGTGTTCCTGTTGAGTACATCTTTCAAGTTGATTCTGAACATCTTCCAGGCCACGTTCAGCATCTTGACCAACCTTTTGGGGGGGGATCTTCCTTGTGCTATTTTTCCTCTAACTAATTTTGTACTCTCTGACCAATGTATCCTACCTCTTGTTGTCTCACATGACCCAACTCTCTCAATAGATATTCTCTTTTCTGCAGTGGGGATTATCTACACCAGGACTCAGACTATTTCATTGTCTAGAGCTTATCAGCTCTTGTCTTTCCCAGTGTTTACTTCAGCATTCTTGTTTTGTCCTGATTGGCCATCATTCCAACCTATAGACATGACTGGCCTAATCACTGTATTATATGCTTTCCTCTTTAGTTGACTTGGCATATTTGTCCAGAAAATTCCTGTCAATTACTTCCATTTGCACCAAGTTCTTTTGAGCTACCACTAATATCCACCTTCACATTTCTGTGATAGCACAACACTTGAACAGAAATATTTCAATTATTGCAAACTTGAACTCTATACCATTAAATGTATTGGCTTCTTGTGTTCTTTCTTAATGAAGCATTGCATTTATTCCATCTTATGTCAGATGATTCATAAACAGTTTTCTTTGAATGCAGTCCTATATCATTTCTAGAGACCTTTCCAGTTTATCTTTGTTATATTACATAATGACACCAGTAGAAAGCAAACTCCATGGAGACTCTTCCCTAATCTCTTTTGTCAAGGTGTCTATTACAATCACAGTTGGGAATGGGCTTAAAATTGGTTCTTTGATATATATACCATTCCTCCTATAAATGTCTCACTGTAACCACAGCTGTTTCTAACTACTGTTTTCTTGTTGTTGTGTTACCCATGTATATCTCCATAATAATCTGAACATACAAGTTGCATGACTATACATACCATCATATTAGTTCTCTAGGAACTCTGTCATAAACCTTCTCTAAGTTTGCAAATAGTAAGTTCAATTCCCTTGGTTTATGCCAGTACATCTGCAAAATTCAGGCCACAAACATTGCCTACATTGCCATTTACTTGGAGCTCCAGTGGCCCATGAAGTCTTTTCTCAATAATTCCTTACAATCCTTTCATTGTGTGTCTTGTTAACTTGACTGGTAAGTAGTAACAACATTCTTGTACATTCCCTTTCGTTCTGAGTGATAGAAACCAATGTGCTCCTCTAATTGTTGGGCATTTTTTTCCAGTTGGGAGGAGTAAGTGCAAGAAATTTGTCATCACCACCATTCTATGGGACACTGTCCAGTACCATTGTCCTTAACATTGTCTGACTCTCCACTTGTCAGATAGGTCTTGTGATGTCATTGCTTCAGCATACTTCACTCAACAGTTTCCTCAAATACTCTTTTTTGACAAGTTTCTCATTAAAATCACAGCAATCTCCCAATGATTTCACTATATCCCACCAGTACTCTTCTGGTTTTGTCTTGGCTCACTTAAGGCTCTGGAGTTTTCAGTGCTTCTTTTGCATCATTTTGGTTAATCTGTGCATTTTCCCTCTATGTAAGTAATCCTCCATATGTGCCCGACACTGGGTTTCCACAATCACTGTTTTTTTCACCTTTTTCTTTATCAGCTTGTATTCCTCATAACTTTTTGCTGTCCTTACTTCCAGCCACTGCTTAACCTTTCACTCCACCATTTCATGTTGTGGGTTGATTATTATTTTGTATATATTTTCCTTGGTATCTATGCCTTTTTTTTAACTTAATCCCTTGTCTCTGCTTCTCACACATTTAATTGTTTTTCACCTGATTTCTAGTTTGAAATTCCTATTTCTTTCAGTAACTATTTGGTCCATAGTTCTATTAGGCTGAGTCTAGACTGGCAAGATTTTGCGCAAAATCTAGACTGGCCACAAGTATTTGTGCAAGAACACTGACTTTGTACTGTACAAAATCAGTGGTTCTTCTTGCACAAGAGGGCCAGGACAAGTTAATTTCTTGCTCAAGAAAGCCGATGGTTAAAATGGCCATCAGAGCTTTCTTGCACAGGAGAGCGTCTACACTGGCACAGATGCTTTTGCGCAAAAGCAAATATTTTGTGCAAAGGCACATGTCAGTATAGACAGTATAGACGGAAAAACTTTTCCATTAAAAGTATATGCGTAAAATCATGCCAGTCTAGACGCAGCCTTAGAGTATAAGAACTATTATTGGCCTAGAGGCAATGGATGAAGACAGTCATATACAGTCTGCTATCTTCTAAGTGGAATCAACATGAATCAAAAAGTCAAAGGCTGAATCTTGTCAGCAGCAAAAGAAATAATACAGACTTGGGTCTCTTGATCTGACTGTTGGCTTGCAAGCTGTTTTGGAGGCAGTAGGTTATGGATTCTCCGTGGGAATTAGGGATTGTTATATCATGCAAGCAAGGTACTAACAAACTTCAATAGGACTTTATTTACCAAAAGTGGAACCTCTTTACAAAGCTGCTGCATCTCTCAGTAGCTTTCACTCAGCCCCTGTCAATCTTCTCCTCACTCCTTCCTGTTTCCTGCTTCCTGTGCTTCCAGACTCCCAACAGCCAATGCTCCCAGTTCTAATAATTACAAGCAGCATCTAAAACACCACAGGGATTCATCTGGAAGTTGTTACTTGTCTACAAAGATTGTTTACAATCTTTGATTTGTGTACTTATTTATCTCTTCTGTTTATCTGGGTGCTTATCGATATTCATATATCTATATTCCCAGATCTGTTTTTCTTAATTTTAACATTACAGAATAGTAAAACCATTGAGATTGTTCTTCTAGGAAAATACTGTTACGTAAGGGAATGATCTTGTAACTCTTGCTCACCCTAAAGCACTGTTACTTAGTCACATGAGAAGTGGTTGTAGGATGAGGTTCAAAGCCTTAGTTTCTATTTACTGTCTAATCATTTTTACATCTAATTCCTCACAATGGTCAGTTAGATATTTCCCTACTGGGAGGTTAGTGTTGATTCTGGAAGCATTCCTTCACAAGGTACAACATGTACTGAGAGTCTGCTATTAATTATTCTGTGTCTGTGTTTGTGCAGCAGGAGATAACCTGTAGAATGAAAATAGGAAACTCAATAAACAAATGTCAAGTTCCGCTATTGTAGGTGTTGCATCTTATCTTATTGGAACAAATGTACAGAAAAAAAACCAAATGTATGATCTCCAGTTCACGAAAAAGCTTAATTACTGAGATGCATGCCAATATTCATTCTATTTTTAACCAACATTGTTGAGCAATTTCACATTCTGAATTGGTGTTGGATTTGGATGGCTCACATAGAGCTAAAAGAAGGAATTGACACTAGCTAGTACTAGTGTCTTTTTTTGGTTAACATTAAAAATTAGGATTATGACCATATTATAATAAACTCTGTGCAACACAATAAAATCAAATGAGCCATACTTACAATCTTTTTTTTTTTTGTCTTACGCCAGACATATTCCTATTGACATACTCATTTAATCAAGAGTGACTCGGTGCAAGGACTGCATGTTTCAACCTCAAAATGTATGTTCCTTAGAATTAAAAATACAGAGCAGTTAGATATTGGCATGAGTTCAAGATATGAATTGAATTAACAGTTTAAATAGTTTCAGTAATACATCCATTTAAAATTGAAGGATTTAAAAAAAGAGTCTATTGTAAGAAATAATTGGGTTTTTAATGCTTGTACTTCACTATTACTAACTAAACACGGGGTTATGCTGTTGCAGGAGGTAAACATGAGTATTTTAAAAGCTTTCTGAATGTTACTGTGTTTCTTAGTAGAAAACATGGCAACACTGTTTCACATATTCTGAATTTTACTACGCCGTAGTATTCCCTTGCTTAGTAAATCTTTCTGTTAAATATCGTTGGCTAAGTGAATGGTATAGCAATTTTTAAATTATTAACACAACACTGATGTTAGTGTCCTAGAAAGGGGAATGAAAGCATAACTTGCTTACAAGGGAGCAAATCCTCAATTTCTCAATAGGTGATTATACCCTGAAAAGTGACTTTGTAAAATGTAATATTCCTTGTGGCACGGTGATTTCCAGGACAAATCAATCAGCTTGCAAACAAAAAGGTATGGTTTTCTAACTGCCAGCCATATAACCTCACTCTGGGATATGGCAGTCATGCTGGTTTCTCTCCATTCTATGTATCATTGCCAGTTGAAGGCAATGCACTTCCACTTGTGTCACGAAGGACACATTCTGATGGATTGCACAGGTATAAGTGAGGGAACGATTTGGTCTGCAGATTCTCTCTAACTGGGAATGGTATGTGGGATAGAGAACATCAGGTATGACTGTCAGAGACCAAGGGCATTGACATATGTGGCAGTCATTTTACTTGCAACCTGAGCAAATTTTATATGGAATCAGATTCAGTGAATACTGAACCCCAGAATGCCATATGGGGTTAAATAATTTTTGTAGCTAAAAGCCCACTTCAAGGTTTGTTTGCACATTATTTTTAAATCTGCAGAGACCTGAAAATTGCAATAAAACTGATTTTCAGCTGGTGAAAATCAGGAGACCTCTACTGAAGTCAATGGAGTCCACATAGAGTCAGAACTGTGCTGTCTCTCTCTTTGGGATCAATCCCATAATCCTCTGTCTGGCAAAATTCATTTTTATCTGAACTCAGGCTTTTAAACACAGATACTGAATAGCACTGCAATGCTAATAATATTATGAGTCTTGAGGGGGCACAGAGAATGACCTACTTCACTCATACAGCAGCACTGCCTTCTGATCTGTAAGTGACATTGGCATCACTATTGTCAGCAAACTGCATAACAATCAACCTCCCCAGGCTACGTAAAATTTCATGGCTCCTGAAGTGTTACAATATTTATGGAAATAACCTTGTAAGTAGAAGTATTTTAAGGTCACATAATTCCATTTTCTACTGAAAAAGAATTGCCCAATTAACTTGACAATTGTAAACCACAATGTCTTGTCCCTTTAAATCTCTTTAACAGACTGGTGTTTAGTTTGTCAATTAGACTGATTTATTTTATAAGGCTCAGTGTGTTAAATTTTGTCCTCTTGGTAATTTTAGCCACTCATATCTCATCTTTCTCTGTAAGTGTAATATAACACAACAGCTATGCAGTAAGGTAATATTTGTCACTAGTGAGATTGTAATATTGTTCTCTGTGTCAAATTTATAGCACACCTTTGATGCTGAAGTGCTTGAATGTAACCACATAAACTGTGTAATACAATGGAGCAGCACCTTTGTAAATGGTGCTTAATAGAAGTAATCCAAACAAATAAGCAAAAAAGAAGGACATTTCCTAAAATAATCACATGCTGTGTCTATCTGAAATTACTTCATAAACTCACTAAGGTAATTTCATTCTCCTCCCAACGAGATGAGTACTGTAGATCCATCTCTCCTCTTTATGTGCACCAACATGCAGTTTTTATTGTTTTATAGTGGCAAGAAAAAAAAGGACATATCTAGCTAAGAATTTTAGCACTTGCAGAAAATATCAGCATTCTTTTATAGTTTTTCTCTTGGTGTGGGAAATTAGAGCAATGCAGAATATATTCATTTATGTAGAAGAGGAAAGTTTATGTGTAATACATGTATTAAAGACTTTGATTGCCTATGTACTGTCCTCAGTCCTGTAGAGTACGACAATTCAACTGTTTCTGCTCTGAGGATCTTGTGATCTAAGAGAAATAAAATAAGTAAAAATAAGTGCTCCTTTAACCTCATTTAATTGTGGACTTTTTCATCAGGAAATACTTAATTCTCATATTATATATAGCATGTGTCCAAGGAAAAAACTCAATTTCTATGTAACAACATTGGCAAAAGCAGAAATCCTTAGTAGGTTAGAGTTTTGGCTGGATGTGGCATTCAAGAAATTAAAGAACTCTCAGTAAAATGTGTTTTATTTCCTTTCTTGCTCACTAGGTTTTCTGTTGAGCAACACAGTATGTTGTGTGTCAGCTAATATTTAAAGTAAACAATACTGAAAAACCTCTATTAAATAATGTGTTACTGCTACCAATTACATACAAGTATGTATGGTATGGTGAGGATGAAAGCTGAAAAGCATAAAGATCATTTATTACATCTATGTAATGAGTGCTTGACCCAACTGTAACATGTATGTGTTGAGCTTGCAAACTCTGCATTCTTAATTTTTTGTTCATTTGCAACAATACCAATATTCAAGTTTTCTATAAAGGTGATCTCCATTAACAAATAGTTCTGCATACCTTTGCTTTGTTTTTGCAGGACTAGGAGAAACTCTCAATATCCTCCTTTCTAGGTTCTCCATTTCCACTGAGTACCCTTCCATTTCATCTAAACAGATTTGATCCAGAACCTGCACCCCCATTTAGGAATATGGGAAAAGCATATGGTTGTTATCCTTTGACACAAATGTGTTCCTCACTGTGGGGCATGCTTGTTATAACCTTCAGGACTGTTATGACATTTATAGTCCTATTTATGTGTATATAACTCAAATGCATCTTTATTACACTAGTGAAAACCATCTGACTTCATAAATATTGTACATCACAAGTGACCAAATACAATGCCCAGTTTTTGCAGTCAAAGAGCATCTTTCCATTGACATCATTGGGGGCTTGTCTAGCCTGCATTCCTCTCTCAAAAGAGGAATGCAAATGAAGCAGATAAAAAATTCAAATGAAGCACGGATTTGCAAATCTCACGCTTCATTTGCATAATCTCATGAGAGCGCTTTTTCGAACTAGAACAATTCATCAGATTTATATAAGAACATCAGAATGGGTCAGACCAATGGTCCATGCAGCCCAGTATCCTGCCTGCCGAGAGTGGCCAATACTGGATGCCCCAGAGGGAGGGATCACAACAAGTAATCCTTACATGATCCCTTCCCTTTCACCAACCTCCAGAGAAACAGAAGCTAGGGACACCATTCCTACCCATCCTGGCTAATAGCAATTGATGGATCTAATTTCCATGAATCTATTTATCTCTTTTTTGAGCTCTATTAAAGTCCTAGCCTTCACCACGTCCTCCGATAAGGAGTTCCACAGGTTGACTGCGCTGAGTGAAGAAAAACTTCCTTGTGTTTGTTTTAACCTGCTGCCTCTTAATTTCATTTGGTGACCCCTAGTTCTTATATTGTGGGAATAAGTAAATAACTTTTCCATATTCACTTTTTCCACACCAGTCATGATTTAATAGACCTCCATCATATCCCGGATTAATCTCCTCTTTTCTAAACAGAAACATCCAAGTCTTTTTAATTTCTCTTCATATGGGACCTGTTCCAAAACCCTAATAATTTTTGTTGTCCTTTTCTGAACCTTTTCCAATGCTAATATATCTTTTTTGAGATGGGGTGACCACATCTGTCTGCAGTATTCAAGATGTGGATGTATCATGGTTTTATATGGAGGCATTATGATATCTTCTGTCTTCTTCTCTATCCCTTTTGCTTTTTTCACTGCCTCTGCACACTGAGCAGATGTTTTCAGAGACCAATCCACAGTGACTCCAAGATCTCTCTCTTGAGTAGTTGTAGCTAAATTAGTCCCCATCATACTGTACATATAGTTGGGATTATTTTTTCCAATGTGCATTACTTTACATTTATCAACATTAAATTTCATTTGTCATTCTTTGCCAAATCACTTAATTTGGTGAGATCTTTTTGAAGCTCTTCACAGTCTGCTTTGATCTTAACTATCTTAAGCAGTTTGGATTCCTCGGCAAATTTTGCCACCTCACTGTTCACTCCTTTCTCTAGATCATTTATAAATAAGTTGAATAGGATTGGTTCCAAGACAGGCCCTTGGGGGGCCCCACTAGTTACCTTTCTCCATTCGGAAAACTTACCATTCATTCCTCAGCTCACATCCACAGCTGTGAAGACTGATGCAAAGAATTCATTTAATTTCTCTGTAATGGCCTTATCATCCTTGAGTTCTCCTTTAGCATCTCAATCATCAGATTCTTGTGGCCCCCTCATTGTTTAGCAGTCTTCCAGTTTCTGAATTACTTTTTGAGTCTTTGACTAGCTGTTCTTCAAATTCTTTTTTGGCTTTCCTAATTATATTTTTACATGTCATTTTGACAGTTTCCTTACTTTCCTCACTATGATTTAACTTCCACTTAAGGAACAATGCCTTTCTGCCTCTACTGTTTATTTTTCTTAGCCGTTTAGCAACAGTGGGCCTTTTTTAGCTTTCTTTTTATCTTTATACATTTAAGTTGAGCCTCTATTATGGTGTCTTTAAAAATTTCTGTGAAGCTTACAGTTTTTTCACTTTTGACACTGTACATTTTAATTTCTGTGGGAATGTCTACACTACCACCCTAGTTCGAACTAGGCTGGTTAATGTAGTAATACGAACTTGCAAATGAAGCCTGGGATTTGAATTTCCCGGGCTTCATTTGCATGTTGCCGGGCGCCGCCATTTTAAATGTCTGCTAGTGCGGACTCCGTGCCCGCGGCTACACGCGGCACGAAATAGATAGTTCGGACTAGGCTTCCTATTCCAAACTATCTATTTCGTGCCGCGTGTAGCCGCGGGCACGGAGTCCGCACTAGCAGACATTTAAAATGGCGGCGCCCGGCAACATGCAAATGAAGCCCGGGATTTGAATTTCCCGGGCTTCATTTGCAAGTTCGTATTACTACATTAACCAGCCTAGTTCGAACTAGGCTGGTTAATGTAGTAATACGAACTTGCAAATGAAGCCTGGGATTTGAATTTCCCGGGCTTCATTTGCAAGTTCGTATTACTACATTAACCAGCCTAGTTCGAACTAGGGGGGTAGTGTAGACATACCCTGTTATACTAACCTCCTCATTTTTGTGCAGTTCCCCTTTCTGAAACTAAATGCTACAGTATTGTGTATTTTTCCTACTACAGGGATCTTAAATTTAAACATATTATACTCTCTATTACCAGTTGGTCCACCTTTTCTCAGCTCTTGGACCAGATCCTGTACTCCACTGAGGACTAATTGCCTCTTCTCTTGTGGGTTCCAGAACCAGCTGTTCCAAAAACCAGTAATTTAAAGTGTCAAGAAACTTTATCTCTGCATCCCATCCTGAGGTGACATGTACCCAGTTATTACATGGAGAGTTGAAAGCCCCCATTATTACTGAGGCTCCTCTTTCTAACTTGTAACCAGCTTTCGAAATTGGGCCAAAATGTTTGCAGAGTGAACAGACAGTTGATAATCATATTTTCATTTCAAAACTGTTGCAGTGATTACTCTTTCAGGACATTATGTTGAAAAGGTACCTAAGCTAACTTCTACAATGTTGCTACCATATTTCCTCCATCTCTACTAAAAATAAAAAAAATATAAAAAGCTCATGTAGACAAAATGTAGAAGAAGCAAGTTGTAGATGAGGTTAATGAAATTAATCAAATAATAACACTATTTACAATTTTAAAAGGATGAACAGATGGTCTTAACAAGGTTGAAAGAATCAAAATAAAATTTAGTCCATGTGTTTGCTAAAACAGCTCTGCTTCACGTAAACATGACTGTTTGCTTTTCTAATAACAAAAATATTATTGAATACAATTTTATGTATTGTTCTATTTGCAGTAAAATTAATCTATAGTCTTGTAGTCTCTGTGGTACTAAAGATAATCTGTTTTAAATGGCTAGCAGTAGAAATTAGAGCAAATGTACCTCCGCAACCAGAAAGAAGACTTTCATCCAGATGGAATTAAAGCTAAATATTGAGTGATAGTGAGTTTTTTTACCACTCATCTTTTCCATAGGTGTATTTTGTCTTGACTGTATACCTTCATCTAAACCCTTCCTACATAGACATATTCACCAGCAATAGTGCAAAGTAATTTAGAATCCTCTGACCCAACAAAATGTGACTAGGGCTATGTTCTCACATTACATAAACTGCAATTCCAATTCATGTCAACTGAAAAATTCATATGCAGTAAACAGATAATGTGTTTAATTTACAAATTAATGTTATGCCTATCTAAAGCACATGCCCAAGTTGTAAGGATCTTTAATAAGAGATATTTGCTTCTACCAAACTTTTAATTTAAGCCACTGTGGAAATGCATGAATTAGCATCATGTAATATTAAAAATGCCTCCCTGTGATACAAACTAGAGTTGGTTGAACATTTTCTGGGAAAAACAATTTTGTCCTCCAGACAGGTGCTTTGAAGTGAGTACTGATGCATTATTATTGCAAGAAATGCATGGGGAGGAGCACCCAAACTTTTATCTAAGACACAAACTATTCCCCCAAGAGACCCACTATTCTACAAGAGATGGAGGTTCTGGCCATGAAGTAGACAATCACTTTCCTGAGATAGTACCAGCAGGAAACCTCTTTCAGCTGGTCACCACACAGATTCCCCTCTGATGGACCACTAGCATGAAGAACACCAATGCTTGGATTATGAGGTCATGCCACTCACTTCAGCCTTATGATTTTTGTTTGTCACATCAGCCATTGAAGGCCCAGGCAAATGTGAACTTCTTCTTCCAAATGGGAGGAGAAAAGAAAGGGCCAAAACTGGATATCCTCTAAAGGGGAAAGGTGTCTGGGAGGGTATACCTATCCCACACTTGTTTATCAGGAGTTAACCACACTCTGTGGGCTGAATCTGGACATTAGACCTCACATACTCCCCAGGCCAGCAATTCACCCTGCCTTGTGTAGAAGGTAGTCTCATTGACTCTGGCTACTAGTTCATGCTGCCCTAGGATTCAGGTCACTATGGAAACAGGGAGTTAGACCACTTGGGCTGACAAACCCCTACTTTACTTCCCTCACATCCAGGCATTACCCTGATAGTAGTACCTACACTGCAAGAGTAACTTCTGGTTCTTGAGTTCTATAAAAGAGTAACTGACATTTCCCTATTCATTTTTCCTCTATCAGTCATGATTTTACAGGCGTTTATCACCTCCCCTCTTGGCTGTCTTTTTTCTAAGGTGAACAGATCCAGTTTTTTTAATCTATTCCCATCTGGAAAGTGTTCCTGTCCTGCAAGAATTTTTGTTGCCCTTACCTGCATCTTTTCCAATTTTGATATAATTGGTTATGAAATGGGGTGAACAGAACTGCACCCCATATAAAAAATTGTGTATACTTTGGAATTATATTGTGATCTCATGATATTTTCTGTGTTATGTATTCCTTCACTAATGATGTCTACCCTTTCGTTAGCTTTTTTTTTTTAAACTTCTCTAGCACACTGAATGGATGTTTTCTGAGGAGTATCCACGGTGAGTTCAAGATATCTTTCTTGAATAGCAACATCTTATTTAGAATAGATTGGGGATTATTTTTCTACTATGCATTACTTTACATTTATCAACATTGAATTTCATCTGCCATATTCTTACCCAATCATCTAATTTTGTGAGACCCCATAGTAATTTTGTACAGTCACCATTTGCCATAACTATCTTGAGAAGTTTTGTATCACTTGCAAATTTTGCCACCTCTCTGTTTACCCACTTTTCTGGGTTATTTATAAATACGTTGAACAGCATAGGTCCCATTAAAGTTCCTTGGGAAATTCCAGTACATGCATCTCTCCATTATGAAAACTGACTATTTCTTCCTGCACTTTGTTTCCTATCTTTAAACAGTTATTGATCCACGATTCTCTTGTCTCATGACTGCTTAGTTGTCTTAAGAGCCTTTGGAGAGAGACCTCATCAAAGGCTTTCTCTAAATCCAAGCACACTATTCTGAGTGAATTACCCTGGGCTGGTCAATATTCTTGTTGACCCCCTCAAAGAAGTCTAATAGGTTGGTGAGGTATGCGTTCTCTTTACAGAAGCCACTCTTACTCTTCCCCAATACATCATGTTTAACTGTGTGTCTGATCATTTTGTTCCTAACTATAGTTCAAACTAATTTGCCTGGTTGAACTTAAGTTTACTGGCTTGTAATTGCCATGATCTGGCAATCTGGAGTCTTTTAAAAATGACTTTATATTAGCTACTCTCCAGTCATCTTGTATGGAGACTGATTGAAACAATGGGCTACATACCACAGTTAGTAGTCCTGCAGTTTCATAACTAGGTTTCTTCTGAACTCTTGGGTGAATACAATTGGCATCAATAACTTATTACGGTTTACTATTTAATTTTGTTCCTAAAACTACTCTATTGATTTCTCAGCCTAGGACAGTTCCTTATATTTTTCACCAGAAAAGAGTAGTTTGGATGTGAGGCTCTTCCCCATCTCTTCTGTAGTGTAGACTGATGTAAAGAATTAATTTAGCTTCTGTGCAATGGACTTATCTTCCTGGAGTGCTGTTTTAGTCCCTTGATAATTCAGCTGTTTCAATGGCTGTTTCTACTTCTGACATACTTTTTTGTTAGGTTTTGTGTCCCTAGCTACATTGAATTTTTTCTTGACTTGCCTTATTACACTTTAACACTTGATTTGCCAAATTCCTCACGAGGACTATGCTTCTAATCTTTAACAGATTTGTTTGTCTGCTTTTTAACCATGTTGTTTTATAAATAGTTTCCAGGCAGTTTTTAATTATTTTATTCTTGTGATTTTTCCATTTCATTTGTTTTATTAGCACCTTAACTATTTATGTTATGTGCTTCTTTGGTGGGTTTCTTTGGCATTTTTCCTCCTACAAAGATGTTAAATTTAGTTGCATTATGGTTGCTATCACCGAGAGATTCAGCTCTATCCCCACTCCCTGCATTAGATCCTGTGCTCAATTCAGGACTAAATCAAAAATTGCCTTTTTCCTAGTAGGGAGCAGGATAACTGCTCTCAGAAACAGTCATTTATGATGTCTAAAATTCATCTCTACACCCTTACTAAGGGACATATACCTAGTCAATATGAGGATAGTTGAAATCTACTCTTATTATTCCATTTTCCACCTTTGCTGCCTCTCTAGTATCCCTGAGCATTTCAATCACTGTCACTACTTTGGTCAAATGTCAGTAGTATGTTCCCACTGCTATGCTCTTATTGTTCAAGCACAGAATTTTTATCCATGGAGATTCTATGGCACAGTAGTTCATTTAAGATTTTTAGTTCATTTGATTCTGTGTTTTATTTCAAATCCAGTGTTATTCCACCTGCAGCACAACCTGCTCTCTCATTCCTATATATTTTGAATCCTAGTTTTATCATGACCCATTGATTATCCTCATTCCACCAACTTTCTGAGATGTCTATGGTATCAATATCCTCACTGAATGCCAGCTACTCTAATTCACTCACAGTATTTAGACATTTAGCAGTTGAGTATAAGCACTTGTACATTTTATCCTTCACTTGTTGGCCTTCATGTGTTTTATTTAAATGAGATAGTTTTATGATTGACAGTTCTGACCTAACACTTTCCGGTACTTTCCCACCTTTTTTCCTATCACCTTCACTAAATATAGGGTTCCCCTCTTTAATAAATTCACCCCCTGGGATGTCTCTGCCCTAATAATATGCTCCCCTCAGTGGTGAAAATAAAATTCATTTCTTCCTGATGCAGAGGATAGGGGTATACCAACAAAGGAGGGCATGTGACCTTCCCATTGGTTCCACCCCCTTCCGTCCCAGGGCCCCACACTTTCTCTTCCCTTCCTCCTCATCTAACATATTACCTGCAGGAAGGTGAGGCTGGGAGCACTACAACACCTGGAGAAGCTGTTGGCAGTTCTACTCCTTTTCCTGCTGTCCTCACAGTGGTGAAAGGAGCAGAACTCCCAGTCCTTCCCCTGGCCGTTTCACAGAACTTCGTCTTCTCTGGCTCCACACAGAAGCAGAGGACGGGGCTGGAGGTACTTTCCCCACTCCTTTCCCTGCTGCTTCTCAGAGGGTTGGGGGTAGTATGGTGTTTTTCTAGCATACCAGTTATAAATCGCTTGTGGACTGGACTGTCCCACTTACTTACCAATGTGTTGTGCCAACCCACACCAGCTTTCTTTCACCTCTGGCTCCTCTGACCTACCAGCTTTCCTCTTCCCTTACTTTACAAAATTCTCTACAACTCTTTTAGTTTTACATGCCAGCAATTTGGTTCCATTTTTATGTATATGAAATCCATCCTGCTTAAATAGATCCTCCTTCCCTAGAAGGTTCCCCAGTTCCTAATAAACCTAACTCCCTCCTTCGCACACTGTTGTGTGATCCATAGTGTGAGACCTTGCAGTTCTGCCTGTCTTCCTGGCCCTGCATGTGGAACTGGAAGCATTTCAAAGAATACTACAATGAGGGTACGTCTAAACTACATGGCTCTGTCGACGGAGCCATGTAGATTTGTTGTTTTGGCATAGTCAAATGAAGCCGCAATTTAAATGATCGCGGCTTCATTTAAATTTACATGGCTGCCGCGCTGAGCTGACAAACTGCTGATCAGCTGTTTGTCCACTCAGCACGGTAGTTTGGACACGTGGAAGGCGACATCAAAGGTATTTGTCGACCCTCCAGGTAAACCTCGTCCAGATAACGGGGCTGCTGACAAAGGGCTTTGATGTCGGCAGGGGAGTGTCCAGACTAGCACGCTGAGCAGACAAACAGCTGATCAGCTGTTTGTCGGCTCAGCGTGGCAGCCATGTAAATTTAAATGACGCCACAATCATTTAAATCGCGGCTTCATTTGACTTTGCCTATGTGTCTAATCTACATGCCTCTGCCGACAGAGGCATGTAGTCTAGACACAGCCTGAGTGTCCTGGTCTTTAATTCCTCACCTAGATACCTACCTTTGGCCTTCAGGACCTCTTTTATCCCTTTCCTTATGCCATTGGCTTCTTATGCACCCTGACCACATGCTCCTCCCCAGCACTTCACGTATGTTCTTCTTTGAAGTCTTGTCAGATCTGTAAGCTTTGTTCCTGGCAGGCAATTTACCACAAGGTTCTACCAGACATCACAACAGAACTATCTGTATTTTTAATAATGGAATCCTGATTGTTATTACCTAATCCTTCTTAGCATTGGGGGTTCTGTTCCCCTGGAGGGGATAGCACTGAAATCTGTTAGAAGCGCTAAAAAAAAAAGTTGCCCCAGCTTGGAATTTCTTAAATTGTACTCACCACCACAGCATCTGAATGCCTAAACACTAATGAATAACTTACATTGGCAGAATTCAATACATTGCGGCTTCGCAAACTGTGACCGAGGCAATGGGCATAGCATTCCCTTATGCACATCTGGCCTGATTCACTCATTGCCCCTAACTCATTGCTGTCATAATGGGTATTTTAAAGATGTCACATAAGGTATCATGCCAACTGATAACACAATGGCCATTAATATTATTATGTAAAGTATCTATTGACCATGTATGAATAATTATATAAGTGTGCTGGAAATATGTTTTTAATAGCAGATGTGACCAGGCTGGTGGAAGCCAGGGTGAGGTAACTGTGCTGCGAAGAGCCTGTTGCTGTCAAGCCTCTGAGCCAAAGCTGCATGCAGGGTCTTTTGGAAGGTGGTGACAGAACCCTTTATTGTGAGTGAAACCGTTAAACACCAGAGCAAATTTTCTGTGTTACTGATCACCTTTAATATCATGTAATATCATTCCCAGTCAACTTCAGGGTTGCCTTTTGCTGAAAATGATTTCTATGAATCGTATAGAAAAAGTTACGGACAACCAAAGCATTTTTACAGACACATTCTTGCATAATATAACGATGGCTCAAAAGGACAAAAATGAACTGTAGTCGATATGCATGCTGACATAAACCTATTCCTATTATAGCTAACCCAACCCAAATCATCCCCCTCTGGATCCTCCTCCCACACTGCCAGGTGATGCCCAGGAGCAGGTCACCTACCTTGGGCTAAGAGCCACCACTAGTGACTGCCTCATTGTGGCTTACCAGTGGGGAGACTAGGGGAGTCTGCTAAGCCTGGCCTGCTGTTTCCTGTTCCCCACCCCGTCAGCCGCAGGAAGCCTGACAGGGGTGTGTGCTGTATCCACTCTCACCAAAAGCTGATGCTGTGCTGAAGCTTGTGATGCCAATGAAGAGTTCAAAGCTGGAGATGGAACAGCCCCCACCAGCAAGCAGCAGGTCAGAGGGAGCTCCTGACTGGAGAATTCCTGTCTATTCCCTTGCCTGGGGAATTGCAAACTCTGGAGCTGCCCATGACAAGGAGCTCATGCAGGGACCAAGGAGAGGAACTCCTCAGCTCCACTGCAAAGCTTGGTGTTGTTTTCACTGATAGCTAAATGTTTTTACAGATGGGTCTAATTGTAGTTGTTTTTTATGGACTGTCTGTAAATATACTGATAGCTGGCAACCCTGGTCAACTCTTCCCATTTGTGATCACCTGAACAAGCCCACGCAAAAAAATGCAGCAAATGGTTATGTAGAAAAGTAATATTAAGGCAGTATTTAGTGTGTCTTTATCTGCAATTTAATATCTGGAAACAAGGGGGAGGAACCACCAGCAAATTCAGTGCAGATCACTGTTTGATGAAATTCTCAGTTAAATCATTATACACCCACTGCAAAGCAGATGCTCTGAGGTAAGCTCTCAGTCCTGATCTGAACTTTTTTATATTTGAAAATGAACAAGAGGAGTTTGTAATATGAATATAAATGGATTTTTGTCCAGCACTTTGCATTTTTAAAAAAGCTTAAATAGGAAAACTCACAGAAATGATGTTTTCTCAGACTATGAAGATTTCTCAGCAAGAAAGTTATTAATTCTAGTTTAGTATTAGAATTTCTTCATTTACCATGGAGAGATTCACTATTCCAGGAATCATTGGTGTCATTACAGGTACACCGGTCTTCCAGCACCCAGGTAGGAACTGGATCCAAAATATGCATCATAGCCCTTAAGTCATGTATCTGTCATCAGATCCTTTTCAGAAACCTCATTAAGTTTCTTACAAACCATGGGTGGCAAGTTGGAAGAAAACATAAGAGATGAAGGAAAGTAATTAAAAAGTAATTTATCCCCAGATATGCCCCACAGAGGCTAGCTGTTGGAAATGAGCCCTTAGTATGGATGACTATCGTTTTAGTTTCTTTATCCTGCTTTTGTAACTACAGAATGCCAGAAATATACAAACTGTGATACACATCTATACTTTTTCACCCCGTTTTGAGTATTTTTCTTGTTACGTGATAAATCCTTTTGTCCATGCGGTTACTTCTTAGTCCATGGCTATCTCACTTATCTTTCATTGTTTTCTAATTCTAATCCATCAATAAATTTCAGAAAACCTTATTCTTTTCATCTATCACTGTAAGTAATGAGCAGAAAATTAACTAAAGTAAACTATAGCTGTGAACAGATGGCCAAGTACTGTTTGATAATGGTTGACAGGCAGTCTTTCATCACCACTTGGGTATAGACTGATGCTAAAGAAAAATATTACACCCTATTCATTAATATTCCATAAACTTCACAGTTTGAAAACTGATCTGAAAACCCCAACCAACTTATATTGTATTATGTCCCCAGATCTACAAAATCATTAAACATGTCCTGAGAGGTAACAGATGAGCAGTCCCATTGACTTTTTTCATTCCCATTCAAATCAATGGGAAGCTTTCAGTTGACTTAAATGGCCTTTAGATGAGATCCTGTGTGCTTAAAGTCAAGTATGCACTTAAGTGCTTTGCTGCATCAGATGCATAAAAAGAAGCCTAGTGGATATAGCAGCTCTGAATCTCACAAGTTTGTTCTTTAGTACAGCCATCTTGATTATGACATCAAAGAAATCTAGATGGATAGATGAATGGATTGTTATCTCATCAATCTTTGTTACACTTAGGATTCATTTTGGAGAGAGGTGTTTATTTTCAATCTCTTTATATTGAAGACCTTTTAGAAGTGTTTGAAAGATTCTCTCTGATATATTCCCATGAGAGCAATTGGTACTGTACATACTATTGCTATGGTAACTTTAGAGAACAGGAACACATCTGTCTTAATTTAATTTGGAGCATGTTTCCCCTACCCCCGGGTCAGTTTTTCTTTAACCAAGTATTAAGCAGTCTTCAAAATGAAGATTGAGGAGGCAAATGTTTTCATATAACAAAGCACTGAATTCCTTTTCACAGCAAATTACTTTTCAACTTTCATTCAAATATCAGGGATTTCTTTTCTTTTTTTTTTTTCAGTAGCAATTTAAGCATGTAACAGGTTTTCTATGATAGGACTTGAGTACATTCATGTGAAATTCATCATTATTCTATTGGAATTCATTGCAAAGCTGGATCCTAATGTTTTGGTGAGCATTGTTGTTTTCAGCCTTTATTTTCTTCACAGATAAAAATACTAATACAGTCTTCATCAAATGATTTGTTCATCTGGTCCAGTTGTTCTTGGTTTCTTTGAGTGATGTAACTGCTGCTTTTTTAATATAATCATTTACAATTATGAAATTCACAAACAAAATACGTATTTGTGTCCTCTTCAAGCAGTATGTAAAATGTTAGTCAAAATTTTAGTATTGTCTCTTTTCATGAAAGATACCAAAGGTGTATTGATTAGCAAGAATATTATAGTGACAGTTCCTGTAAATGTAACTAACACGCACACAGGACTGAGTGGAACTGTATTTTCAAGTACTGTTATATAACTGTTTCCAGGCTCAGGTTCTTAAATGGTTCTTTCTTCATTCACATAATCTGGCCCAATAAGTATTTATTTATGATTACATTGCATGCTAATTACTAAGGTAATGAAGGTTTCCATTCTATTTTCTTATGAAAAATGTAACTATGCTATTTAATAATGCCACATGTATTAGAATATTAGTACCAGAATTTTATAAAAAGGTTATTTTTTCTGTCTTCCTGAATGTTTTAACACACTCTACAAGCCTTTGTAAAACTCCATCACAAAGATATCAGGATGTAAAAGAAAGTGATTTAGCACTAATACATCATCTATGATAGAGGTGGGCAATAATTTTTGGTGGGGGGCCACTCCAAGATTTTGGTAAGTGATCAAGGGCCACACTATTCTGTGGAAGGGTGGTAGGGGCTATAGGATGGAGGCTGGATACAGAAGCAGGGGCGGATGAGAGTGCCGCGGGGCCCAGGGCAGCACCGTGGAGCCCCAGGCAATGAAATTTTGCGGGCCCCCCCCCCTTTGACACAGCGCATGTGCCTTGGTGCCACGGTGCATGCACGGGGCCTCGGGAAGCGCGGGGCCCGGGACAGCCGTCTCACTCGCCCTGCCCTAAATCCGGATTTTCCCTCAGAAGGGTGCATGGGGTAAGGGACTGGGGTGCAGGAGACAGTGTGGGGTCCGAGAGGGTGCTTGGGTGGGTGGAGTAGGGGGTTGTGACTTGGGTCAGAGAATTGGGGTGTAGGGTCTGAGAGGGAGTGTAGGTGCAGGAGAGGATTCTGGCCTGGGGGAGAATGTATAGCAGGGGAGTACAGGGTCTGGGAGTTGTCACCTAGGGCAGGGGATGAAGAGGGTTTGGATGGTGACCTGGGGGAGGAAGTTGGGATTCAGGAGGGGTTGAGGTGCCAGAGGCAGACGCTGGCTGGGAGGAGTTTACCTAAGTGTCTCCTGGCCAGCAGGTTGCAGCACCCCCAAAGCAGGCTGGGTGCCCTGCCTTTGCAGCCCTACAAACTGCTCCCTCCCTGTGGCTCTCAACTCCAGGTGGGGGGAAGAGGCTTGTGCTGCCCCAGGCTCTCAGGCCAATCTTTCAGCTCCAATTGACTGGCTGATTCCAGCCAGTAGGAGCTGAGAGATTGGCTGAGGTCAGTTCTTATTGGCCGGTTGTTTTTGGAGCTGAGGATTGGGCTGGGGGCAGGGAGGTCGCACAAAGCCTCCCTCTCCCTGCAAAGCAGAGAGCCACAGGGGCTGCATTTTAAACCGCAGCAGCTGCATTCCTGAGGGTCCCGGCAGGGTGGTCCACAGGCTGGATCCGGTAGGTTGGCGGGCAAGATCCAGCCCCCAGGTCATATTTTGCCCAGGCCTGATATATGATCTTATATATGATGGAAATGGAAAACATACTGTGCAAGAGACAGAATGACTTTACATTGGTCTCCCCACAATCATTTCATATTCAGATAGTAGGGAAAAACAAGTCTATTATGTAAATACTTACATTTATTTTACACTTACATAAGAACACAAGAACCTAAGAATGGCCGAATTGGTTCAGACCTGCCTTCCAACAGTGGCCAATTCCAGGAACCCCAGAGGGAAGGGAGAGAACAAGTAATCATCCAATGATCCCTCTCCTCATCTGTTTACAGCCTCTGAAAAACAGAGGCTAGGGATACCATTCCTACCCATCCTGGCTTATAGCCATTGATGGAGCTAACCTCCATGAATTTATCTAATTCTTTTTTGAACCCTGTTAAAGTCCTGGTCTTCATAACATTCTCTGGCAAGCAGTTCCACAGGATGACGGTGTACTGTGTGAAGAAAAACTTCCTTGTGTTTTTTTTTAAACCTGTTACCTATTAATTTCATTTGGTGACCCCTAGTTCTTATGTTATGGGAACAAGTAAATAACTTTTCTTATTCACTTTTTCCATACCAATCATGATTTAATGTTAAATATTAAGCATTTTAGTGGTGATCACTCTATCTCAGATACCACAGTGGAGTAATTGCAATGTTCACTTTATAACTGTGACATTACCCAGGGCACAGTCTGGACTGATGAACAGTTTGGCCCCTCAGTTCTCCAGTCTTTGCCTCCTATTCTACTTTTCTGTGAGAGCTATCTCTGTTAGCCTCCAGCATGTAAGTCATTTGTAGTTATGTTGTATGAGTACTAGATTCAGCCACTCATGAACACCAGCAAATTCTGAGTCCAGGATTTTCCCTCAGAAACATACATCTTGTTCTGCCCAGCTCCCTCTGGCACAATACAAGCTCAAATGAAGTCCATCATTTTATTAATAGAAAATGATATGTACACATCCTGTTATCCCAAATGGTGTTTCCCAAACACTTCAATTCAAGCACAGTGGTTTAAATGAAATTGCAAAGCAAAGATGTATTGATTAAATAGAATGTTTGCAATAATCTTTTACTACTTTTACTAGCTGTAAATGTAACTTACAAGCACATATCATATGACTCTGGGGGATTTATATACAAGTGCAGTTATGTAACTGTTTCCAGGATTAGTTCCTTAAATGGATCTTTTTTTATTTATATAATTTGACCCAATGTGAATAGATAGGATTTTAGATTTTAAGTAAGGAAGCAGAAAAGTCTGAATTGGCTACAAGAAAATAAAAGTAAAATACAACAAAAGCCTAACTTAGCAATCTAAGGCTACATCTATTCTGCAGCCTTCTTCTGCAAAAGCTTATGCAAATGAAGGGTGGAGTAGAATATTGCTGCCAGAGTTGTTGACTCGAGTCCCATGACTTGAACTCAAGTCCAACTTAAGTCACCTAGGTGACTCGACTTGAGACTTGACTCAGGTTCATTGTTTGTGACTTGAGACTCAACTTGAGACTTGCTAATTTTGTTAAATCGACTTGGTGAAAAAATTGTCCAAAAAAGCTGCTGTTCTGATGCACCCAGAGCGGCGTCACTGTCCCAGCCACTCCCCCCCCCCCCCCCCCTTTTACCCCCCCCAAAAAAACCCGCAAACCACA